TAGGTTTAGAACATGGGACTTAAGGTATTCCTTTGTTTTCATTTCCAAAGAGTTCCAGTGAGGGACATTTTTTTCCAAAATTGTCTACCTTGTCTCTTGGCTTTAAAATTTGATGGGGTAATATAAGTCAATTTCTGTTAAGCTAAGAAATAAAACATGGACGGATGTTTGAGAAAAGAAAATGATTTAAAATTGTGACTTAGAACTATATCCTGGATGAGTGACATTTCGAAAGTGAAGTCACTGAACACACGAGGTAATGAACAAAACTAGTTTCTGATATAAAAAAAAAAATCATACATTTTAATCAACTACTGATTAATTTATTTTAATTAAATAATCTCTACACCACCAGCAGCTACTGTATGTACAAACTACCCAGACCAGGAGATGTTTATTCAAAAACACATTTCATTTCATCAATTTGAAAATGAAAAGAAAAACGGGTTTTAATGCAAAATGGAAATGTACAGTTGAACTTCGGTATCTCGAACACTGATATCTCAAATACCATGGATATGTAGAAGTGATTTGGAAGTCTTAACCACTTATTCAAGTATTTTACCCCTGATATCTTGAATCCTTGGATATCTCGAAATTTTTTCTTGGTCCCATCTAATTCAAGATAACGAGTTTGACTGTATTTGTTAAATAACACACAGAATGTGTATCCTTTAATTTTTATTGGTAAATAAACTTTTTCAATGCAGAGATTACTTTGCTTAATCTGTTCAATTTGTGTTGACAGTAGCTAGATTTAAATCATTAAACAGCACTAGTATCTACACCACTGAAACCCCTTGTATAATACAAGTAATTTAACACTGTTTACACTCATGTATGTCGCATCGTATATATTCATGTTTTAATGGATTCAAAATTTAAGGACCCTCTATACACAGCACACAGTAGGTTTACAATTCCATGGTACTTTTATGCAGGTAAAGTGATTTTCCCTTTAATATATATAAACTGAAATCTATAGTGTAATATTCAGTTTGTAATCAATACAAGTATTCATAACATTAAACTAGACCAAGATAAAGTGACTGAATTGTTTATCTGCATCTGTGTTCCCCATTTAATTACTAGTATTAAACTGGAAAATCAAGTTTGTTTGTTTTGTTTTGTTTTGTTTTTTACAGGTTTGGTCAAGGCAAGATTAAGGTTCCTTCAAGTTCTAAAATAAATTACATGTAACTAGACACTGTAGCTTCAAAATGTTACCCACATTATTCATCCTGATGGCTGCATTAGGCCTTGTCATAAAGGACTTTGGAATGGGCTTCTGTGATATACTGTAGATTCCTAAATAATTATCGCGTAATTTTGCGAGAAACACCATTCGTGAAATAAAATTACTCGCTTTTATTTTTATGGTACTAAAATCCATGAAAAATCCCTTGATCAACCGTCCACTCGCTAATTATTGTTCTCGCGATTTGACGTTAAAGAGCCATTTCGCGATAAGTACTCACGAAAAATAACAAATCTACAGTATACGATCTGTAAATGTTGCACTAAAGATTTTAAAAAGGAACTGTTGTATGCAAAGTCAATGTATGACTACTTACTTACAAAAGACAGGACTTGGTCTTAAAACCAGAAGTCTCTGATAAGACTGTAGCTCTACTGGTTTGTATTAAATCAAAGGAAGAGAAAAGTAGGACTTGGACTTAAAACTTTGCAACAGCAATAAAAAGAATAACAATTCTTGATTTAGTCTCTTTTTGTAGCAAGATAAAACTTTCGGCAGAAAAAAACTGTAAGAGGAGTAGCAATTTGAATGTCTTTCAGAGAAATTCTATTTTCTAGTAACTATGGCAACACCATTCATTGAAATCAAAAACAAAGAAAAATAGTTAGGTACCATAGTGTAGTCTACTTGTGTGCCAAGTTATACTGAGATCAGACCAAAACTGTAGGGGTGTAGTGTTTTGAAAGTATTTCACAGAAATGTTTATTTTTAGTAACCTTTCAATGAAATCAAAAACATCTTAATATAATCTACTTGTGTGCAGTTATACTGAAATCAGACCAAAACTATAAGAGGAGTAGCGTTTTGAAAGTATTTTACAGAGAAATTTCTAGTAACCATGGTAACACTATTCATCAAAATCAAAAACAGATACACATGTAGATAGACTTATGTATCTTAGTAGAGTCTATTTGTATGATAAGTTATACTGAAATCAGACCAAAACTGTAGGAGGAGTAGCGTTTTGAAAGTATGTATTTCAAAGAAATTTCAATTTTTTTTAGTAACCATGGCAACATTGCTCATGGAAATCAAAAACAAATATACAGAATTATGTATCTTAGTGTAGTCTACTTGAGTGCTAAGTTATATATACATGTAGACAACTTTCACAGTAACTAATGAAATCGCTTTGAATATGTTCATTATAGTTTTCCATGTTGCCCCATACTAAGGCAATACTGTTTACAGACGGATGGACACCTTACTATCACATATGATAAGCTCTTCTGGTCTCTGACCAGTAAAGCTATAAAAAAAAGTCACTTCAACCTATTTTTGAAGATTCTATAAAGCATCTATTCAGCATATACCCAGAAGTTTTACTAACCAGGGCTTCTAATTATTACAGAATATACAAGCTGTGCAATGTGGTAAATTGTGGTAAAGTACAAGACAACTCCAACTTCATGGCAAGTTAAAGCAGAGCACTGTGTATATATATATATATATATATATATACTGGTATGCAATATCTAATCAGTCAATATTTTATTACTTGGCAATATTTTATCAGTCAATATTTCTTTTATACTTGGTGGTACAGGTACATGTATACAATGTCTAATCAGTCAATTTTTCTTTACTTGGTATGTACCGTAGTTATTAGTGGAGAGGTCCACAGGTATTCACTATTCAACATTCTGATATTCTATGGAATCATCATTGTCCACGGGGAACCAGTGTTTGTGGATTTCCTCTAGGTTACCCTTACCCATGAATTTACATCCCCAAACACATATCAGTTATGAATTTTATTAATATACCAATTACCAAGGTTTATGCTCCACAAGAGGAGTTTAATTTTGATTGCCCATAAAGGTTGACTCCCATGAATTAAAGTAACTCAACAGTAAAACCCAAGTCACATTTACAAAAACAACCAATGGCTCATTTTAGAGACAAAAATGGGATTCTTCAGGTGACAGCAGTTCATCTTGCATTATCTTGCCCTATTTTGACCTGTTTTTTCATCAGCTGACCAATTTTGTGTCCACTGGTTCAAGTTATAATTTTTTCTGCGTCAGTAGCCGATTTCTTCAATTGAAGCAGTTTTTAAATAGTCCAGCAACCAACCCTCAATCATCGTCCAACCATAGGCTGACAGTTTGTTACGTCAGTCGTTGGTCGGTCAACATTGGGAATTCAATAATGATGGCGGACGGGAAAATCAAACTGCAGCTCAGCGCTCAATGATCAGGTGAGAACTGGTCGACCTATAAATATTTAAACTTTTAAAGCCATTGGTTTTTCTCGGAATTAATGCGAGTGCTGATCATTTTTTTTCAGCTAATGATACGAGAAAAATTTGGTTGCCCAATCCTAGGTTTAAACGTGACTCTGGTATAAGCAATATTAGTTTCGAACTTAAAGGAGGATAAGGAAAATACTGTTATTGTAATTACTATAATTATTTATACATTCATATTTATCATTAATTATTGTCAAACATGATAAACAAGTATCTGTGACATATACGAACACAATTCTGTGGGAGAGTAAAGGCTATACAAAATACCTAACATTAAATAAAAATTGATTAAACTTTACATATTAAAGATTTTGCATAAAATATTACTAATACAGAACACTGTGACACATAAAAATATATCTCTCAACATTTGATCATAAACAAACGGCTTTAAAATTGAATGGATTTTACAAACAAAATATGAAATACAGTACAAAATGTGATGCTTTTGGCCATATGTGCATTAATGAACATACCTTGGAATGGTTTTTATCACATACTTATCGTAACAATCAACTCTAAAACAATCACCTTTCAAATAATATTTCCTTCCATTGAAATAGCCTTGTGGAACTTGTTCCAATACTCATAAATCAAAATAACTCATAAATGAGAAAGAAGTTAGAATACATAGTTAAGGTGTATTCACTCAATGAATAAATCTCAAACATATTTAAAATAAATACAAGATATCTTGCTGTGACAATTTATCCCAATGTCATCCACCAATTTTAGAGCCAGTCAACATTACCGAGTTAATCAGGTAAATCTGCCAATTTTTGAAGTGATCCACACTGTACAGACAAATTTTGATTTAAAATAAAAACCTTTCAGTTCAGATGAGCTTTAAAAGAAAAAAATTTTATGTAGTTTTAAACAAGGGGTATCTCATGATTTTGATTAAAGCAGACATGGTGTTTATCTAAATACTAGCAATTCCTGGGTAGAAATAGAGATGTGGCATGCGTAGAGTGCTCTTGTACTCGGACATTTGAGACATGGAGTCCATCTCCAGCTGAGGACACCGTGACACTTTCCTAGAGACCAGCAGATTCACCTAAAAATCCAGTACAGAAAGGTCATACAAAATCTAATAACAGTCATAGAGTGCAGGCTATTTAAACACATAAACATTGGATTTCTTCTGATTTTTAATTAGATGGCTTACAATACAGGAAATGAATTATTTCTAGGTTACTAATTATAATATACAGATTTCTATATTAGTCTATTTTGTCCTTTAAAAAAAAGGTTTTCCTTTAACAAAATGAACTTAGTTTTAAAATCATATCTTGAAAGCCTTAGTTAATTTTTTTTTAATGTATCAATGCAAAGCAAAGCTCTCGTGATAATCCTACCCTGTGCAGCATTGTACAAATATCCTCAGTCTTGGCATATTTCATAAAAATCTGTACCAAGGCTTCAATGTACCAACTCCCCCTCTCACGATTTCTCCAAGCATAGTATCCTAAACAGGCAAATACAACAACACCAATAAATACTATAGCACATACATTCTAATTTTAGTATATATTATGCAGTTATTGACTGGGTTTGAGGGCAACATGCGTTTTGTCGGACCCAAGAACCAAACTGTTAACGGCCTCAGGAAAACAGTTTGGTTCAAGGGTTCGACAAAACACATTTTGCCCGAGAACACAGTCAATAAATGTTTTGTTATACCTTTCACTTTTTTTTGCTGGCTTCCATGAAAATTTTCTTTACACACACTGCAGTAAAACTCGGTCAATTCTGTCACTGTTGATCACCTAAGATTTACCTATGTCACCTACAGCACTCTATAAAGTATGAGGCAGATTGGGCCAAGGAAAGAGAAAATATGCTCTAAACAAGTAATACTGGACAGACAGATCGATCAATATAAGATACTACAAAGAGGGGTCAGTATGGTCAAAGATTCATCAACAGTGTATCAATGCCTGCAATTCCATAAATGAAGTCCCTGTAATTAACCCCTTTATAACAAAATCTTACCTGTCTGTGTTGGAAAACAAATGATCATGTCTGATTGGGTTGGTAGTTGTTTAAATCCCGGGGTTGATCCATCGTGTTCATCATTAAATGGAACACCGCTGTCTAAAGCACCTGTAAATAGTTTATTGTTCCATTTACATTTATTACTCACTAAAATAAAAATTATTTACATTTCTACCTTCTAAGCATTGGCTTAGATTATAATAATCAATGTCCCTTTTCTTCATTATTTGTGCCACAAGGACCATTTACAATTGAACTTTGGTACACCATGATTTGAAAGTCCCAACCCTTCCTCTTTAAGTATTTTACCCTTGTTATCTCGAATACTTGGATATCTTAGTTTTTCAATGGTCCCATTGAGTTCAAGATAAGAAAGTTTGAATGTATATCTATAATTCTAAATTGTCAATGAATCTAATAGTTGGCACAAGTCCAAAGACCGAAACTAGACATTATATATTTTTTCTTCACTCAAAAAGCAATCAGCTTTCATAAGGTGTGTGATCCATAAACATTGCAATTGGTAACTAAGAACTGATCACAGCTTATCCAAAGCACCTATTTCTGGATGTATTTATCTTTAAATTTATTTTTGTTACTGTGAAAGTATGAGAAACAAGTAAATTTATTGAAATGTGAAATAAAAATGCAAGGCATACCTCCTCTGCAAGCCTGTATTACAAAGATCTTTGGTTTGTTCAATAAACTTGGACAGTTGCTATTGTCAAACAGCTTAAACACACTGTCTAACTGGAGTTTACGACCATCTGTTCCAAAGATATACCCTTCCTCTCCGTGACTGAGCAGGCACACAAATGTGGCATCTGCAATGTAATGGGCAGCATCTGCAGCAAACAACTCTAGCTTTTGCGCCATCTCCTATAAACAAAATTTTGAAAATAAAAGACAAAAGAAATGCAGGCAATCATAATTATGAATTTTTAAAATTATATATTATTTATAATCCCAACTTTAATTTTTACAATCCCAATTTTGAACAAACAAGGAAAGGCATTAATTTGCCTAACACAATATAAAGAAAGATATTAATTTTGTCAAACACAATAATTTTGAATCTGCAGGTGTCCTTCCATTATAATTTTCCTTACCTACTAAAGAGCTAATTAGCATACCTTTGCCGCAAGCCCATCACAGTCATTATAGACCTTGACATCAAAGTGAAGTTGATTCAGGAGATTGTGTAGATTGTCCCTGTCAATGTCGGTACCCCTCCGAGGTGGTTTTCCCTCGACTTCGTTCACGTTAATGATCAGAGCTTTGCCTCTAGGCAGTCTCCTCATTGCATAGGACTACAGAAAAAAGAAAACATTTTATTGTTACAGCTAGAAAAAAATGTTTTCTCAATCAAAGATCATTTATAATGAGTTGAAAATTAATTCTATGAAAATATTAAAATCTATAAAATAGGTCACTTTCTCATTCTCTGGAAAAATCAGAGCAAAGAAAAAGTAGCATACCAGGCCTCTAAGTAACCTCTAAAATTTAAGCGCCACTGGCGCCTTATCAAAAACATTTTGGTCGCCAATGCAAATTTTTAGTCGCCAGGCAATTTTTTTAAGGTGCCAACTTTAAAAGTTAATAGTAATTAATATAGGGACCAATGACATGACTAAGAAAACATGACATGTCCATTGCTAAAAATAATTTCCTCTTCTTTTAAATTTCATTTTGCTTTTTCAGAAAAATTGTTAAAAATGTTACAATTTCCGGAATCCGTCAATCCCCAAGACAATTTAAAATGGTCGCCAATTTGGCGACTTATGGAAAATTTTTAGGCACCAATCAAAAATTTTAGGCGCCATGGCGACCAAATTAGTCGCCAATTAGAGCCCTGCATACCTACAGTATGAATAGAACATTAACACACTGTAACTCACATAACTTACATTTCCACGATTATTAAGGTAGAACTGTCGAGTTGATTGATCTACTCTGACAGTAACCGGTCCATCAGTCAGATCAATCTCGGGGTCATCTAACTCGCCTCGTAGTTTGACAGGCTGAGGAACAGTTTGGATGATCCTTATTTCATTAGGACTTTGTGAATCCGATTCAAAATAAGGAATTACAATTTTGTCTTCTTTTCGTTGTCTTTTGGCTAAAATTTATAGCATATTCTATAAACTGTGTTGCATTCTTATCAAATACAAAGATTTGAATAAAATAAGTGAAACTGATGAGACCAAACAAAAAAATATGTGTGGTTCCGGTTACAAAAAATTAGGGTAGGTAGGTAGGGATTTTTTTTTTTTTTTTTTTTTAACAAAATGATTTTCTTAATTTTCTAAATAATACCTATTACTGCTTTGCAAATGACATTTAGATGTGGTGTGATAATATACACTGTACTAGTCAATATTGGTAGGGGACACGGTCACACCTACGTGCTAGCTTGCTTTGGATTTAACACTATTAAACACTTGCACTATGTTGTGCAAGGAGGCCATCATTGCTAAAACTTAAACCAGAGCCATTGATGGAAATCGGGGAAAATTTCCTGAAAAAAATATGAAAATTGCCAAAAAAAAGTTTAGGGTCGGGGGTATAAAATAGGGATGGTCGGGTAACCGGAACCACACATATTTTTTTATTTGGCCTGATATGGAATAAATTACCAGGAGATTCAAAGTTTTCTTCATGGTTTCCCAAAGGTTTTGTCATTGCATCTAAAAGAAAATGAAAACATTTTTTCTGACTCATAAGTTCATTTAAATAACATCAGGCATTTTTTCAATATATTACTGTTGAATAAAGCTAGAGCATGTAAATTTTTCACATGAAAAGTATCTATATTTTGATTGTTTACCAAGAGTATCCTCCCTTTGCAGAGATGCAGGTTTTTGACTGGGAACATACACTACTTCTCTACATATCTGAGGAACGTTATTGTTGAGCGGTTCACATGAAGTCACTCGTTTTGGAGATCCTTGCAGTGGTTCATAATTTGGATCATTGATGTAGTGCTTCAGGTTAAGTCGTTCTTCATTTTCTTCAAAAATTTTACGATTTTGACTGACCCTATCTAAGAACTCAGCATTAGTAAAATCATAATGATGGCTGGGATTTTTTGGTAAATAAATGATTTGGTTGGTGTGTAAACTTGATGGTGGGTTGGGTTGAACACTTGGGTTTTCGATTGGATGGAAGACACGATCTGATGGTAGGTGGGGTATAAGCTGAACTCCCTCTGAGCATTGGACACCTCGAGAATTTTCTAAACCATAAGCAATGTTTCCTGAGGAGCAGCTTTTGGAATTGTGTACAAATTGCACTTCTTTTGTTGTTGGGTGAGACACCTGTGTCCCTGGGGCTGGGATTCGGGGAGGGGATGAATGTGGACGGGTGGGTTCCTGAACTGTCTGAGATTTTTGAGATGTAACAGATTCTGTTTTAACTTCAGTTTTTGATGTTTTAACCTCTTTTTCTGGTGGTTTTAAATACAAATTCACAATGTCTTCCTGGCCATTTGCTATCAAAGCCTCACTAAGGACTTCAAATCCATTACTTTTAACTGAAATCTTGTCCAGAAGTTCCTCTGTCTGGTCGTAAGTTGTCTTTTTAGACTGAAAGAAAAAAAATTCTTTGGTATAATCATTATAAATGCAATTATTACATTTATCTGCATATATGTAAACTCTGCAGATTTATTAATGTAGATCAAGAATTACCAGCTGTCAAAAAATTTCCAATATTCTGATCAGTGATCATTAAAAATATTCTATTCGGTCTGAGTGACTTAATTAGTCCTCATATTCCTTTTGACCTACTCTTTTTTTTAAAGCTGGAAACTTTAAACACACACATACATATTTTGTCCTGATTGATGTATGTTTTGAATAATTTTATTTTTAAATCAGCTAAATATTTTTTCATTTGAGAGTGTGATGAAAGAAGGGGGTATACATATACTGAAAAATTAATTTCGTTTGATTTTATGATCAACTAAATTTTTTTAGCTCACCTGAGCCGAAGGCTCAAGTGAGCTTTTCTGATCACATTTTGTCTGTAGTCCGTCTGTCCGTCTGTAAACTTTTCACATTTTCGACTTCTTCTCAAGAACCACTGGGCCAATTTCAACCAAACTTGCCACAAAGTATCCTTGGGTAAAGGGGATTCAAGTTTGTTCAAATGAAGGGCCACGCCCTCTTCCAAGGGGAGATAATTAAGAATTCGTGAAAAATTAATGGCATCATTAAAAAATCTTCTTCTCAAGAACCACTGTGCTTGAAAACATGAAACTTATGTGGAAGCATCCTCAGGTAGTGTAGATTCAAGTTTGTTCAAATCATGACCCCCGGGGCTAGGGTGGGGCCGCAATGGGCGATCAAAGTTTTACATAGGAAATATACAGGAAAAATCTTTAAAAATCTTCTTCTCAAGAACAGCAAAGCCATAATTGGTCATATTTATATGGTAGCATCCTCAGATAGTGTACATTCAAGTTTGTTCAAATCATGACCCCCGGAGGTCGGGTGGGGCCACAATGGGCGATCAAAGTTTTACATAGGAAATATACAGGAAAAATCTTTAAAAATCTTCTTCTCAAGAACAGCAAAGCCATAATTGGTCATATTTACATGGAAGCATCCTCAGGTAGTGTAGATTCAAATTTGTTCAAATCATGACCCCCGGGGGTCGGGTGGGACCACAATGGGCGATCAAAGTTTTACATAGGAATATATAGGAAAAATCTTTAAAAATCTTCTCAAGAACAGCAAAGCCATGATTGGTCATATTTACATGGAAGCATCCTCAGATAGTGTACATTCAAATTTATTCAACTCATGACCCCCGGGGGTCAGGTGGGGCCACAATGGGCGATCAAAGTTTTACATAGGAACACATAGTAAAAATCTTCTTCTCAAGAACAGCAAAGCTATGATTGGTCATATTTATATGGTAGCATCCTCAGATAGTGTACATTCAAATTTGTTCAAATCATGACCCCCGGGGGTCGGGTGGGGCCACAATGGGCGATCAAAGTTTTACATAGGAATATATAGGAAAAATCTTTAAAAATCTTCTTCTCAAGAACAGCAAAGCCATGATTGGTCATATTTACATGGAAGCATCCTCAGATAGTGTACATTCAAATTTATTCAACTCATGACCCCCGGGGGTCAGGTGGGGCCACAATGGGCGATCAAAGTTTTACATAGGAACACATAGTAAAAATCTTCTTCTCAAGAACAGCAAAGCTATGATTGGTCATATTTATATGGTAGCATCCTCAGATAGTGTACATTCAAATTTGTTCAAATCATGACCCCCGGGGGTCGGGTGGGGCCACAATGGGCGATCAAAGTTTTACATAGGAATACATAGGTTAAATCTTTAAAAATCTTCTACTCAAGAACAGCAAAGCCATGATTGGTCATATTTAAATGGAAGCATCCTCAGATAATGTAGATTCAAATTTGTTCAATTCCTGACACCCCCCCCCCCAACCACTTTTATATTTAAACTTTTCAACCTTTCAAGATTGAAGTGATTTCTGCTTTTTCCTAGCCATAGTGCTCAGGTGAGCGATGTGGCCCCTGGGCCTCTTGTAGTCTTAGTATTTTCTATAAGCAACTTCCCTTTTTTGAGTTGTCAAGCACTGTCATAAAAATTATGGTGAATTTCAGGGGTACAATTAAGAAATTTTAGGGCTAAAATGGGGTATTACATTACTAAATTGGGACAGTTTTAGACATATAAATGGAATTACTTTCACAAATTTGACAATTAATAAACTTTAAAAAAAAAATTTACGACTATCAGCTGTTTATGGGGTTTCTGTTTCCCAGTTGATTCGAAAAGCATGCTCTATGTATGAAAAATTTCTAAAACGAAGCAGGCTACTGACAAATAAGTTGATGATACAAGGATATCACCAACCTCAATTTAAGTCAACATTTTGTAAATTCAATGATCAATACAATGACCTTGTTTGCAAATTTTCCATCTATCATTAGGTTGAATTTGACTGAAGTTTGCATTCAAATTGTTAGCTATTATCACCACACCGAATTGTCTACAGATTTTCCCCTTTCATATGATCATGACAAGGGGAATACTCTTATATACATATGCATGCACATACATTGTACTTTATACAATTCATCATGATACACTTCAAATACCCCAAATTGTAACGTAACGCTAAAGCAATGTCTTTTGTAAGAATCTACCAATAGAGTTTAATATAATATCTAATTCTCCATAATAATGTTTGTTCATGAGCAAATATAAATTGTATATATACAGTGTTTGAAATAACCGTGAGCCCGACCACCTGAAACATACAAACTATGCGGGCGAACATATTTGCATGTATTGACACCAGGCTGGACGTGTTAAAAATTTTTGATAATGAAAATTCATATATTTGATTTATCTCTTTTTTATCAACTATTAGTTAAGTATTGGTAGCAATGTGTTACAAGCCATGAGGAAGAATTTATTAGTCTCTACATTTGGGATTGAAGTTTTGGTGACCTGTAGCCCTTTTCACAAAGTCTTACTATTTTATTCATTTTTCACAAAAATTCTTACGAGATTCTTCTATGCAAAATTTGTCGTACCTTTACGAGAGCTCTAACCCTCTTGTAAGTATTTTAGAGCCGAATTTAATTTTCAAATATAACAGATAAAAACCAAATAAATGTTTAATTGAACTTTATATACATCCTTTAACAGCATTTTATATTATTTCACAATTATTGTCAAAAAATCATATGAAATATACTGCAAAATATTTATGATGACAGTTTCCCTTTTTAAAGTTCCATCTAGTAGTAGCTACTAGATCTTCAACAGGGCTGACAACTTTTACTAGCAATCAGCCCTGCATGTCTGGCTAATTTTGCAATGAGTATTAAACACTGTCCTGTATAGTTTTGACAACTTTCTGTGTCAGGGCCTGTCTGTGACAATATAGTCTCCTGTGTATAGATGCTTTAGGATTTACCTGTACAGTTTTGACAACTCTCTGTGTCAGGGCCTGTGTATGACCTCAAAGCCTCCTGTGTATAGAAGCTTTAGGATTTACCTGTATAGTTTTGACAACTCTCTGTGTCAGGGCCTGTCTATGATCTCAAAGCCTTCTGTGTATAGAAGCTTTAGGATTTACCTGTATAGTTTTGACAACTCTCTGTGTCAGGGTCTGTCTATGACTTCAAAGCCTCCTGTGTATAGAAGCTTTAGGATTTACCTGTATAGTTTTGACAACTCTATGTGTCAGGGCCTGTCTATGACTTCAGAGTCCCTTGTGTACAGAAGCTTTAGGATTTGCCTGTATAGTTTTGACAACCCTCTGTGTCAGGGCCTATATATGACTTCAGAGTCCCTTGTGTATAGAAGCTTTAGGATTTACCTATATAGTTTTGACAACTCTCTGTGTCAGGGCCTGTCTATGATCTCAAAGCCTCCTGTGTATAGAAGCTTTAGGATTTACCTGTATAGTTTTGACAATTCTCTGTGTCAGGGCCTGTCTATGACCTCAAAGCCTCCTGTGTATAGAAGCTTTAGGATTTACCTGTATAGTTTTGACAACTCTCTGTGTCAGGGCCTGTCTATGATCTCAAAGCCTTCTGTGTATAGAAGCTTTAGGATTTACCTGTATAGTTTTGACAACTCTCTGTGTCAGGGTCTGTCTATGACTTCAGAGCCTCCTGTGTATAGAAGCTTTAGGATTTGCCTGTATAGTTTTGACAACTCTCTGTGTCAGGGCCTGTCTATGACTTCAGAGCCTCCTGTGTATAGAAGCTTTAGGATTTACCTGTATAGTTTTGACAACTCTATGTGTCACGGCCTGTCTATGACTTCAAAGCCTCCTGTGTATAGAAGCTTTAGGATTTACCTGTATAGTTTTGACAACTCTATGTGTCACGGCCTGTCTATGACTTCAGAGCCTCCTGTGTATAGAAGCTTTAGGATTTGCCTGTATAGTTTTGACAACTCTCTGTGTCAGGGCCTGTCTATGACTTCAGAGCCTCCTGTGTATAGAAGCTTTAGGATTTACCTGTATAGTTTTGACAACTCTATGTGTCACGGCCTGTCTATGACCTCAAAGCCTCCTGTGTATAGAAGCTTTAGGATTTACCTGTATAGTTTTGACAACTCTATGTGTCACGGCCTGTCTATGACCTCAAAGCCTCCTGTGTATAGAAGCTTTAGGATTTACCTGTATAGTTCTGACAACTCTATGTGTCAGGGCCTGTCTATGACTTCAGAGCCTCCTTTGTACAGAAGCTTTAGGATTTACCTGTATAGTTTTGACAACCCTCTGTGTCAGGGCCTATATATGACTTCAGAGTCCCTTGTGTATAGAAGCTTTAGGATTTACCTGTATAGTTTTGACAACTCTCTGTGTCAGGGCCTGTCTATGATCTCAAAGCCTTCTGTGTATAGAAGCTTTAGGATTTACCTGTATAGTTTTGACAATTCTCTGTGTCAGGGCCTGTCTATGACCTCAAAGCCTCCTGTGTATAGAAGCTTTAGGATTTACCTGTATAGTTTTGACAACTCTCTGTGTCAGGGCCTGTCTATGATCTCAAAGCCTTCTGTGTATAGAAGCTTTAGGATTTACCTGTATAGTTTTGACAACTCTCTGTGTCAGGGTCTGTCTATGACTTCAGAGCCTCCTGTGTATAGAAGCTTTAGGATTTGCCTGTATAGTTTTGACAACTCTCTGTGTCAGGGCCTGTCTATGACTTCAGAGCCTCCTGTGTATAGAAGCTTTAGGATTTACCTGTATAGTTTTGACAACTCTATGTGTCACGGCCTGTCTATGACTTCAAAGCCTCCTGTGTATAGAAGCTTTAGGATTTACCTGTATAGTTCTGACAACTCTATGTGTCAGGGCCTGTCTATGACTTCAGAGCCTCCTTTGTATACAGGGCCTGGGAAGGGGCCGCGCCATGCGCCATATGCGCATACTGTCGAAAAATGGCGCAATGAAATAATGGTGCGCAGCGCCATGTGGCGCGCCCCGCAAAATGCGAGTATGCATGTTTTATTACTTTGTAAGTTCATCGCAGTCCACACTATCTGTATTCATTGAGGTTAGATGGAATCTGTAATGTATTATATAATAAAATCGGAACCATCATTCGGCATATTGACATCCACTGGCAAAGAAAAAGTTTTTTTTTCATGTCGTTCGATTCGTAAGTGTCAAGTCGTTTTCGATGGTTGACCACAGCTTTACGAAAGTCTCGCACATGGAAAATTTATATACCTTACAATGAAAAACCTTTTCAACGAAGTCCACTTATTTTAGCCTGTCCCGTGATCTCTAAATCGGCATCATTAAAAAATGTTGCTTTTGGTTTAAATATAATTTTTCTAAATACTAGTTGGTTAGAATCTAGATGACGATTGACTGAAGTTCTTAGAAACGGAAAAATCATTTGCACTAGTCATGCAATGTCATATGACTTGTCAATTCCTATCGCATTTTTCTTTTTAATTTTCCTAAATTTTGTTGTCAGAGATATATGCATTATCCTATAGCATCATACTATGATTTATTTTAGAATAGCCCCAATATATTTCCCCTTGGCCCCTTAAATTTCAAAATGGCCCCATCATTTCATGAACAGTTGGGCCATTGGCCCCACCTGTTGCTTGACCTTCCCAGGCACTGTGTATAGAAGCTTTAGGATTTACCAGTAAAGTTTTGACAACTCTCTGTGTCAGGGCCTGTCTATGATCTCAAAGCCTTCTGTGTATAGAAGCTTTAGGATTTACCTGTATAGTTTTGACAACTCTCTGTGTCAGGGCCTATGTATGACTTCAGAGTCCCCTGTGTATAGAAGCTTTAGGATTTACCTGTATAGGTTTGATAACTCTATGTCAGGGCCTGTCTATGACTTCAGAGCCTCCTGTGTATAGAAGCTTTAGGATTTACCTGTATAGTTTTGACAACTCTCTGTGTCAGGGCCTATGTATGACTTCAGAGTCCCCTGTGTATAGAAGCTTTAGGATTTACCTGTATAGGTTTGATAACTCTATGTCAGGACCTGTCTATGACTTCAGAGCCTCCTGTGTATAGAAGCTTTAGGATTTACCTGTATAGTTTTGACAACTCTCTGTGTCAGGGCCTGTCTATGACTTCAGAGCCTCCTGTGTATAGAAGCTTTAGGATTTACCTGTATAGTTTTGACAACTCTCTGTGTCAGGGCCTGTCTATGACTTCAGAGCTTCCTGTGTATAAAAGCTTTAGGATTTACCAGTATAGTTCTGACAACTCTATGTGTCAGGGCCTGTCTATGACTTCAGAGCCTCCTGTGTATAGAAGCTTTAGGATTTACCAGTAAAGTTTTGACAACTCTGTGTGTACGGGCCTGTCTATGACTTCAGAGCCTCCTGTGTATAGAAGCTTTAGGATTTACCTGTATAGTTTTGACAACTCTCTGTGTCAGGGCTTGCCTGGACAACAGTTCTGTTAGGAGCCCATCCTCAATGTTGATATTCTCCACCAGCTCCACTCTGTTCTTTAGGAGGATCTCTTTCTTGGACTTGTCCATCACTTAAATCCACAACAGGAGCTGCCTCATAACTGGATAATCAAAAAAAACATCCATCATCAACATTACAAATCTCACCCCAAATATGTAAATACTTGGGACGTGCAATTTTATCAGTATACGGGTATATCGTGATTTTTTACTGTGTGATACATATCGTGATATGGAGACTAAAATACCGGTATTCAGTATATTATTATAAATTCCAGAAATAATTAAGTTTTTTGTCCAAACTTTTGAAGTTCAATTATAGTAATTGAAAAAGATGTCATTAAACAGTAAAACAACGGCACCCCAGCATCCAAACTTTATTAATATATAAATAAAAATGAAAAAAAGTGAAGTTATGTTTTCAAATTATGAAAATTCATTAAAATCAAAGTTAAAGTTATGTGTAAAAATATCATGATATTATCATGATGTTATTGAGAAAAATCGTGATATATCGTGATGCAAAATTTTTGTCGATACTCATCTCTAGTAAATACATAATCAAAGCCAGGCAGTAAACAGCAAATGAAGGGCAAATGATTTAACTGATAGAAAAAAAAGGTGTAGAATATATCAGGACAGGCCAATGTCTTTTTCATTTGTCATGTGAATTAAACAAAATAGGAATTCCCCCAAACAACATAAAGTAACATTTCAATCCCGTTAACAATCAGTATGCAATGATGCCAGTTGTGAATTTTGTACTTTTAACAGATGCACTATTACAAAGTAACAAAGCGGAGACAACACAAGCTACCACCAAGAATATCTTGCATGTCATCTTCTGTTAATGGTTACCGTAATAGGTAATTATGATAGAATAGCACACTTTTCCATAGAAGTGGACATATATGTACTCTATTCTCAATATGTGTGACTATTACATTTACAACATACAAATATTTCCTATTTTAATCTATAATATACATGAGTATTAACTATTTTTTTTTTAAATAAATATTTCACATTTCTTTTGATTTTAAATGTTTTTGTCAACATATAAGCTATAAATTAGCACTCTTAATTGTGCTTTTGAATATATGTGCTTTACCCAATGTTGTGGAAATTCGCAATACAATTTGGGAAAGCTTATCCAATTTCAGGTTAATACTGAAAAACAATGACTGATGGAAATCATACAGTAAAACATGCTTATAGCAAAATTCCAGGGACGTGCAATTTTGATTCCTTATAAACAGTAATTTGTTTTATCTGTTAAGATAACAATACATTTTAAAACCATGTACCAGGACTGAAAATCTCCACTGTACGCATGAATTCATTATAAATGTGTAAACTTGCTATGATTGAGATTTACTGTACAGCCTTGAAAGGCACTAAATCAATAATAAAGATGAATGAAAATTATCATTTTTAAAGACCAAACAAGATGTGTTTGTGAAACACTGATGCCCTAGTATGGCAAGTTAAAATTTCTCAAATGTATATCAAATATGTTGGTACCCAAAGGTCTTGTCCAAAGGAATATACTTGTGAACTTTGAAAGCCCTAGCAGCAACCATTGAAAAGATATGGAAAAGGTTAAAGTTTTTCAAAAGTAAGTCAAACATCAAGGTCAAGATCAAATGGTCAAAAAATTAATGGTGCCTTCTCGCAAGAAATACACATGTGAAATATGAAAGCCCTAACACCAACCGTTCAAAAGATATGGCAAAGGTTAAAAAGGTTAAAAGTTTTACAAAAGTAGGTCAAACTCCAAGGTCAAGGTCAATGGGCTATAATTGTTGGTATCTAAAGGAAAGTCTTGTCACAGGGATTACACATGTGAAGTATAAGAGTCTTATCACCAGGGTTAGGGTTAGCTATTTATATTATTATATTATATTATATTATATTATATTATATTATATTATATTATATTATATTATATTGTATTGTACAGTATTATATTGTATTGTATTGTATTGTATTATATTATATTATGTTGTATTATATTATATTATATTGTATTATATTATATTATATTGTATTATATTATATTATATTGTATTACATTGTATTATATTATATTATATTATATTGTTATATTACATTACATTACATTACATGTAATTACATTACATTACATTACATTATATTATATCAAAGTCTGATGGTTGGTTTCCTATAAGACGCACTGTGCTAATGTGTGATGGTCCGATACGCCAAAGTCTGATGATGCAGGGAAATAATCAACGTTTAATGTCATCGACTGGTCGTCATACGTGTGTATACAAAATTCTTGGCTCCAAATTGAAATAAACATATGAAAGAAATGGGCATATTACCTTCATGTTTGATACAAAATGTAGAGTAACCAAAGGTGAATCCAGAACTCACTTGCGCACATAGGTATCCCCCCTTTTTGATTTTTTTTTTCTTTTTGGCTTTCGTATACACTTCTAATTTATCAACATGTAATGATCACACACTTAGTGTCAAGCCTGATTATGAATCTACCCTCAGGAAATCCCTGATTTTCCAGTTTGGACATTTTTTTTTAAAGAAAACCATTTGTGTACTGCCCCCCAATCTCTCCTTTCTAAAGTTTTTTTAATCCGCCACCGGTAACTTTATGTTGAAAAATTCTATTCTTAATTCATCTCAAATTTTGAATAAATACTAACAGTGCTATTATGTAATTTGAATGATTCTTAGGTCTATATCATTTAAGATGCAGATTCAGTTTTCCTTCATCGCTAAAAATTAACTGTACTGTATCATTGATATTTTGCAGATAATGTACAGTTTCTGCTCATTTGCATAAGAAACGCCCACGGAAAGTGTTCTGTATCGCAGTTATTGCAATTAATTAAAATGTGCTATTTCCTTTATGGTTATATCATTACTAATAAGTTCTAATTCAAAACATTTAAATATAATCTTAGATGATTGAAATTCCGAACTTTTTTTTTTTTTTTACAGAATTACAAGCAAAACTGCCTGCCCAATACGTATTGGAAGTTATTTTTTTGATATGATACATTCTTGAACATGAATATGTATTGATATGTCGATATACTGACACAGTCCTACCCTTCATCCAAGGATGCTTTGTACCAAATTTGGTTGAAATTGGCCCATTGGTTCCTGAGAAAATGTTGAAAATGTGAAAAGTTTACAGATGGACAGACGGATGACAGTGATCAGAAAAGCTCACTTGAGCTTCTGCTTAGGTGAGCTAAAAAGGTTTGTTATGATTAATTTAATGGTTATTTATTGCAACTTCATTTATTTTCTCCAATATAATTTCGGAGTGATTGTACAATTTTCTATATTGCGGGTATATGAGAGGTATTCTAACTGTAGTGAGACCTGTCTCGAGACACAGATAGATTATTCTAACTAGTATATGGAAGGCATTCTAACTGTGATGAGGCCCTATCTTGAGACACAGATTATTTTAACTAGGCCAGATTCAGTTGTACACCCAACAAAATCCAAAAACAATAATTCAATGCTTAATAATTTATTAAAATACCAATGACCTATCATGTGTTTTAATGCTTTTGAATTACTTGAAGCACCTAATGACCTATTAATTAAAATAAATAACAGCTAATATTTCACAACCCATAATTCTAAGAGTAGTCGGTTTAAGAGCTCTATATTGTTCAGATTTTTTATTGCATTACGTACACAGTGTCGACTCTAAATAAAATTTACAAGTTTACAAGGATCCACCCGTCTACTTACCTTGAACGCCAAAATCTAAATTCGCGGGTTCGGGCACGTTGCAAATTTCATGAACACAGTCCATGTTTGCAATGATCATTTCCCTCTGAATTGAAAAAGCAATCAACAATTTATATGAATTACGTAAACTTACCGTAAAGTTCTTGTATTCTGATGTTTAAAATCAATAAATTAAAAAGTTAAAATCTTTTGAGTCATTCAAAATCCGAATGGAATAAAAACGGAACAAGTGCTTGGAGAGTAAAAGACAAAATGTCATTCGGTATGGGGGAATCATTGTTCCGGAAAATGAACTTGTATCAGCACACAGACTTTTCATATAATATTGGGCAGATATAATAACATAATAAAAAGTTAGAACAGAAAGAATATGTAAAAATCGTATGCTTAATAAAACTGAAGATGAACATTTTCGATATTAAAAAGGTAAACTGCAATTTAGCATTACCAATGTAGTCCCCTTTTTATGTCTGTTTTCCTTTCAACAGTGTTCAATCATGCAACTCTTTCTCTCTTGTTTGTATATATTGTATTAAAAGTATAAGACCTTCTTAGTATTTACAATGTATTTCTAGTTGCCCCTTCAGGGCCCTTAATTGATAAATAAACGAATTAAAATGAATTATTCCCCCTAAAAATCCATAGTTTAGAATATTTGCCATTTTATAAAGATATAAATTTTTTTAAGTGTCAGTTTTTCTCTACTGGACTACAGGCATATGAATCGCAAATAAAGTCCTCGATCAAACAGTCATTCCCCTCTATATATCACAGGTGCTTGGGGACGGAACCCCGACCAACTCCCCGTTCTGATATTTTAATCCAATTATACCAAGAGATGAAAGATATTGCATTAATTATCAAAATATTGTTGAAGATGAACATAATTTTTTATTTGTATGTCCTCTTTATAAACAACTTCGAAGTGAATATAGTACACTTTTTAAGAATACATGTATATCTTATGAAATACTTAATCCAGCAGATATTAAATCAGTTCAAGTATATGTAATTTCATACGTGATGCATGTAACATATTTATGTGTATCTTCACATTCTAGAATATTGTTTAAATGTATGAACAATTGATGATTCTTGTATGTTGTGCCTTTGCCAATTATTGTAATTGTGTTTGCGCCAATAAATATTGTATAAGAAAATTTATGTGACTGTATTTGTTTACTGTATGTATGACTTGCGCCACATGTGCATGGTTTTTGTCAAAATAAATTAAATTAAAAAATTAAAATTTGTATTCTAATATGCACTACCTAATATCGATCATGTAACCCTCTTGTTTCACTAAGCTGTTTTAAATATATCGTCTTCTCTTTTTATGTATCAGTCGAAAACGTTATGGCAACGAACCCAAAGTGCAATAGGTAAAGAAAAAATGTCAATTCAATGAATACCGTACGTATTGTCCAAATTATACGTAAAAGTGGCACCTTTTCAGTTTTCACATTTTATGGGGTGTGAAGGGCTAATTTTTACGAAAAATGTACCGATAAAATCATGAGTAAAATCATCTTCGCTAGCCAAGGGTTTGTGATCTGCACCGAAGAGGTACGAATCACAAACCTTTGGCCAGCGTCCGAAGATGCATAGCGCAGTAATTATAAAATGTGCATATTTTATCCTTGATAACACCCGAAGTACAATATGTATTTACAACAGGTATCAAAATGAAGAAAATAAAATTGCTAACATGTAAAGTAAAAATATCAATTAATGAAATTAGTAATTTTTTTCTTGCCTTTACAAAAACAAAAAAAGAAGGGGGTGGGGGTTAATGTGTTCATGTACTTCTACTCCTTAACTAATTGCCGAATTTTGGACAAAGTATTTCTTCTTGATTATAAGAATTGTATCGTTAACAGTGGTAAAATTCATTTTTCCGAGCTTACGCCGGATTTCATTTAGTATGTTTATATTTCAATAAGTATCTATTTGATACCAAATCACACACTGTGAAATATACTCAGCTAATTATAATCTCCTGCAAATTGCGTTGGGGAACAAATAAATAAAGTATTTTATTATTTTTATTATCGAAAGTAGAGTTGAAAGTCTCCAAATTCAGGGTCTTAAACATCTTTAGGATCGAAAGTGACTGTATGTCGTGTTAGACAGGAAGTCGGTAATTTCGGGAATGCTGGTAAAATATCATGTGTGTGGGACCGGTCGGCAGGGGATGCTCACTCCTCTACGGCACCTGATTCAACCTCTTATGTTTTAGAGGTCCGTGTTTGCTCTGCTCTTGAAATGTACTGTTTGAATGGACTTTTGAGCTTGAATACTGTTCATTATCTCCATATTTTATGAAGAAATTTAACAGTTGAATATGACAGGAAGTCGCTCAGTACAGGTGATCGCTATGAAAGATTTGACTGTAATCAATGTGTTTTTGTTAAGTTTTAGAACACTTTTTAAAAAAAGTTTTATATTGTTTAAATGTATTTTTGTAGGAAAATATTTGTTTGAAAAACCCCTGTAAAACGTTCTTCGTTTACAATAACTCCGACATATCACACTTGTCAGATGTGTTATTTTGGAGAACACAAGCACGCAATATTATAATTAAAAACCCTTAAAATAACTAAAAATCAATAAAGATATTACACTTGATCCATCCTTCCATAAAAATGGCTTTATAGTACCTGCATGTGTAAGTTTGTTTATCTTACACAGAAGTTACATTAGTAACCTTTACTTTTCAATGTACAGTGTAAAGAAGAAATTGTTTTTTTTTTTAATTGGTAATTTAAGGTTGTATCTAACATGATTTCAATTTTAAGGGTTCCCTGAGGTAAAACAGAACAATTTTTACCATGAAAATATTTTGATTAAATTTTTCATTATAATAACACCTGTTGTATTTTCATTCCGATAAATAATTGTTACAATTATGTAAATTGGCTATTTGTTGGTCTTGCAAGAGATGAATAAAATCTTCAAATAAAAGAAGATTTTATCCTATTTCCATTATACCCTGGATAACTGGTTTGTTCAATATGATCATAAGGTTTTAGATCAACAGAGACCTTTCTTGAAAAAAAAAGAATGAATAAATAACATTTATCAAATATCAATATCTATCTAAAACTTTCATTTCCAAAACACAACAAAGAATGTACAGTTACTGTACACTTTAATATCACATTAAACATTATGATGTCACTTATGACAATAAACAAATGGTAAAAATTAACAAAGGACCTTTGGACCACAAGGTTCATCTGTGTTGTTTTGAACCTGATAAACACTGGATGCATATATACTATTAATACAATTTTTATGGCTTTATACTAATTACAAGATAATGATTAGAGATATGAATGCTTCTACAGGAGGCTTGTAAATAAATCTGACAAATCACAACCTTCTGCTCTTAAAAAAACAAAAATATCACATAAATCATTAAAAAAAAATCATAAAAAAATTAAAGAGTCTCCTGCTAAGTTAAGCTTATAAGTTGTAAATTCATATGGATACTGGTATTTAGCACCATTTGATTTCATATTCACCACACACAGGAATGAAATTTGCAGTAACATTATCAGTAACATTTGTACATCAATTTGTATCATTTACATTTTAAAAGTCCCTATCATTAACTTTAATCTTTAACATAAGTGTACAATTTTATTTAATATTTTGTATCATTAACATTTGTACAACCCTCTCTTCCATTATGATGTAACCAACCCTTTCATATCATCATAAGCATTTTAACATTATTATATCATTAAATTTATTGACCACTCTTAATGATTAACATTTGTGTATGTTTCTCTGTAACTTACATAACATAAGGTTAACTCTTTGTATCATTAACATTTCTAAGAACTCTTTTCCATTAAAAATTTAAATCATTATTTTTAGATCATTTTAACATGACTGTCATACTTTTTTAAATCCCCTTTGAGTATGTCAATTGGATTAAAGCAATCTAAAGTTCTGTGATTTGTATTACAAGCTGAAACATCATATCATATCATAATCACTTGTACAACACTCTGTATCATCAATATTTATACAATACTCTGGATCATTAACATTTGTACAACACTTTGGATCATTAACACTGTGTACAACACATTATATAATTTGTACAACACTATCATTCACACTTGTACGATATATTTTCTCGTGAATATTTATACAATAAAACAACAACAAAAATATTTTACATTTGTAAAACACTTTTTCATTGTGTCATAAACTTTTGTACATCATTCTGCATCATTACCATAAAAATTCTGTATCATTGAAATTTGTACAACACTCTCAAACTTTAAATTTTATGAAACACTTTGTATCATTAACAATTTGTGTAACACTTTGTAACATTAAACATTTGTACACACTCTGTATCATTATCAACATGTACTCTTTTTATCATTAACAGCTATACAACAATCTGTATCAAAATCTGTATCATTAACAACATATACTCTTTTTATCATTTACAACTATACAACAATCTGTATCAAAATCTATGTAAAGCCTGTAGGACATGTACCAGGATACACAGCACCATACATCGTATTGCACATAAACTAGAAATATCTCGATCTGTAGGACAGGAATGCCCTGCCAAGGGCTCATTACTAATGCAACATGAAAATTTGTATTAATGTATGAAGTTTGATGAAAATATCTTGAATAGTTTGTTTTATACATAATAAATAGTAAAGTCAAAGGCCATCGGGAAGGTCAAGGTAAAAAAAAAATGAACACAGTTGATAAATTCTCACCAAATTATGTATTAGTGCATAAGCTCACATTAAAATATCTTGAATAGTTTCTTTCAAACTGAGCTAAATGCAAATATATGAAAAGTTAGGTCAAGGAAAAGGTCAAAGATAAAAAATATTGATGCAGTTGAATAGCTCTCATCAATATATGTTCCACATATGAAGTTTGATAAAAATATCTTAAATAGTTTCTTTAAAGCTAAAAATTTTCTTTTCAACTTGGGTAAATGGGAAAAGTGAAGTAAAGGTCAAAAGAAAGGTCAAGGCCAAAACATGTTGGTCTCACCAATATGTTTCGGCATATAAGATTTGATAAAAATATCTTGAATAGTGTCTTTGAAACTGGGTAAACACAAATTTAAATAAAGTGAGGTCAAGGTCAAAGAAAAAGTCAAGGTAAAAAATATTGATGCAGTTGACGACAGTTTAAAAGAGTTTTTTTTTTCTTGCATGCTAAAAATAAAACTCTTGCCATTTTCAATTTGTAACTGGGGGTACTTATTTTTTTTAATTGAGAACAACATACAAAGGCACTTTATATGAGTGTGTATACATACATGGGCAAATGCCAGTATGGTATATTTAATATGTCAAGGTCATTTTGGAGTCCCAACCACTTATTATTAAAGTATTTTAGCCTCAATAACTCAAATTCTCAGATATCTCAAAGTTTTCTGAGTTCGAGATAATGAGGTTTGACTGTTTGTAAAAGTAAATAAATCACTGATATGTACCTGCATTTTCAGTTCTGAAATCCACAAACTTTGATGGTACTAAAATCAAAATTCAGTTAAACTTCAGTATCTCTAACAGAGAGATCTCAAATACCATGGTTATGTTAAAGTGAGTTGAAACTCCCAACCACTTTTTCTGACTGTGCTATATATATAGGATTCTTATTACTACATCACTATCAATGTTTTACACCATTTTTATATATGAATCCACTTTATTTTACTTCATCACTTTCACACAAAACCCATTGTGACGTCACAGCAGTGGGATATGAAAAAAATATCAAATGAGTGATATCCACGGGATAAAGGGGTAAACATGGGATAAAAAAAAATATACAAAATAATTGTGAAATCTATGGTTGCCATTTCAAAAATATATCAAGTATAAAAATAGCACATTCATTATGATACAATACACGTACCAGTGATGTATATCCTAAACATCAATATATTCTTATTAAATAAATAGTATCAAAGACTTTCAGTTACAACTCTAGTAGATAATCTATAAATTATGTATCATTTATCCAACCAATAAATTGGTTAAGCTGAAGTCAATAAACTTAAAGAAGAGGAATTTGACTTTTGTGTGGCTTGCTTGTTTGTTTTCATCAATGTATATAACAAAACTCCACAAATGACCAATATATTTCCACACCACCACAACACAGTTTTCTGTTCCTTGTAATAGATGATGGCAATAATTGTCTGTGTAACAGACTTGGCATTAATGCTGATATGATGGGAAACAGGGGAGGTAACTTTTATCTGTAAAGCACTGACCCATCCAATAGCAAGGGAAAGAACTCCAGACAAAGTCAAAAGAATCCAGAAATCCATGGATAAGGACATCTCTGACTGGATGACCTGCCTGGCTTGTCCTGTGCTGTAAATAAGAGGAGACAGGAGAAAAAAACAGTTTATGTTGTTGTAATAAGCTTGCCTTAAACTGTCACCTTCAAGTACTCTCTCAGCCTGTTTAAAGTACACTCCACATATAGCAGCACTAAAACTGGCCATCAAACCATAAATAATGCCCCATACACTTAGTGTTCCTGTATCATTTTCTTGATCAATCCCAATCACAAACCCAGTGATAATGCACAGGCAAGCTAATAAGGCCTTCCAAGTGAGGGGTTGCTTTAACATGCTGGAAGACAAGATGATGGTAAAAATCAATGTGAAAGACCGAGCAACTTGATAGAAAGCCACTCCAATATGCTTCAACATTAAGTTGTTGAGTGTTATGCTCATTATGAAAGTCAGGGATAGTTTTATTATGTCACCGTGAAAGAGAGTTTGAAAATCAATTTCTGGTACTTTAAAACATTTCCTACAAAATTTCCTCATACATCCTATAAGTTGTATGATGGTCACTGCAGCTAAACTCTGGTACCAGGCAATAAAGATTGATAAGTCTGTATCCCCATAAGCTCCACTGAGGATATGTTTGTTGACAAACACCATAGAAATTGACACAGTCCAGTAAAGTAGGATAATAGCTGCCACATGGAGGAATGGACTCTGGATATCCATTCTCGATGATAACAGGATCCTAAAAACGAAACCCACAAAGATAAATAAAGCATTTTTTGGTGTTAATTTAAGGAATAACTGTCTTATTTCTAGTATTAGCGTGTCATTGGAGCATGCTGAAGCCACTTTTGGATAAGAAGTTTCTTCTAAATTTATTGTAGGCAAGTTTTTTTTCAAAGATCTAATTTTCAAAGGTATATATGACATATCTGAGCTACAAAAATCTTTACAATATTAAGTGCAGATATGTGCTATTATGTTACAAATAAATTTTTCACCATCTCTGAACTTGGAAAACCTTATATTTATATAGTTATATTGACTTTACAGTTTGCTGTAATTATGTTGAATATTAATAAGATCCCTCATGTGCATGACTGTGGGATAATATAGCATTAAAGCCATGATGGAATTGTAGCGTGAAGCGGTCACCCATAGAGGGAGACTCTACTGCATCACTAGAAAAGCTAGCTCACTAGTGAGGCAGTACAAGTTCACTATATACTGTTCGCTAGTGAGCTAGCTTTTCTAGTGATGCGATAGAGTTTCCCTCTATTTCAGGCAAGTTAAGCAATGGTGGGCCTGTATAACCTTGGGATGGGTGACCGCTTCACATTACAAAATTGGTGGCAGGGTAGTGACTCTCATGTCTGGCGGCCTGCTTCTGGGCTAGAGCTAGGAATTTGTGTCCATGTACAGACTTGGTGTTTGTGGACGGCAGAAGTTACCGTAACTGAAGAAGTTCAACGCCTGCTTTAGGAAGCTCTAGGGGAAGGACTTTGTGCCCATATAATGACTTAATGTCCATGGACGGCATTGGTTGCCGTTGCTGAAGAGGCCCCAGACACTAAGAGAGAACCCATGTTTAACTTCGCTGAGTGGGGAGAAATGTAGGGGAAAGTATACACTATACAGGGAACTTATACTGCCTTGCTAGTGAGCTAGTTTTTCTAGTAATGCAATAGAGTCTCCCTCTATTTCAGGCAAGTGGCAACGGCGAGCCTGTATAACCCTTGGATGGGTGACCACTTCACGTTACAATACCTTTAATTGAAATAAATACATATAAGATAAAAGATTTTTTAAATCTGAACTGATAGCGAGCTCGATAGACTAACGTGTAAGAACAGAGAAAATTCGGAATGACATATGCGTCAGGCAAATTTTGGAGTGAAACCTTCCCAGAATTCCCTCACTACCAGGATTCCATGCGATAATGGCGAATATAAAATAATATAAAATATAAAAGACCTGCAGTTTGCCGCAAAAAATAGTTGCATTTACCAGGTTGGACACACCCCACCAAATGGTCATTTATCCCCCGTTTGGTGAACAATCTCCCATATCGGAGACGAATTTTACTGACCATTTGGGAGAGAAAAATGGTTGTGTTCAATTCCATAGAATGGCGTGGAATGGCGCATAATTTTAAACCATGTGGAATAAAATATAAATATTTATCGGTGTTTTGAGTGAAAAAAATCGGAAATTCAACGTGTAATTTTTTGCGCAGAGTCGTTCAAAAATTTGACAAAAAATGTCACGTATGTAAACAAGTACAACGTTTCTCCGTTTTTACTTAAAAAGAAAATTTCCTCCTTCTTCTACGATGCTGCACCTGTCAATCATGTTCTTTACTTTCTCTTTCGATTATCCGGGCAACCAATCAAATAATGCAAACCAATAAAAACGATGATCTTTTTTTAACGGCACGTCGATTTACCCAAATGGACCCAAATGGACCCAAATGGAAACAAATGGACCCAAATGGAACCCAAATGGACCCAAATGGAAATCAAAATTTTTTAACCTGGTCAAAAGTCGGATTTTACTACGGAGGCACATTAGTGTCAATTTTCAATTAGAAAATCAAAAGAAAAATAAGTTTTCGCCTTTATTTCCTTTTATTTTGTACGCAATAGCTTTGTTCTCTATAAAAATAGTAAATGAAGTTAGATTATGATATTATTATTGTTTTAAAACGATGTACTTCGAACGAATACAAGAATAATTGCAAAAGTCCCTTTGTTAATCTTTTATTGAAAATTATTTATCAAGTATATTAAATTCATCAGTAATATACATATTAAACCACAAAAGATCGTATGGAATATGCAACTTCATCCTAAAAGAAAAATAACAACAGATATTACGTTCAAGTATTTAAAAATTTAACTTTATAGCAATAAGTGCCCACCGTACCAGTAAAGTAATGAGGACCTTGTGTTTAACGGGATTTTATGGAAATAAATATTGACGAAGATCCAAAAAGCGATTGAAACTTAACTTATCAAGAGTTAAACCACTGGATAAAATAGAATTTTTATCCTACTAGACACAATCAATTTTTTTTTTGATCGAGTGATCAAGATGTTCGGCTGTTACGGACAACTATGGGTATCGTTTTTAGGAAGTTATAGAGAAATTGCACATGGGAAATCGACCAAACTATGTTAATTGTGCGACGAATATGTTCACTAAAATTCCCCAATGCCTAAGTAAATGCGCTTTTGCTTTATTTTAATAAAATTTGGAATAGAATAAAGAAGTCCACCAATTGGTCAGTAAAATTCGTCTCCGATATGGGAGATTGTCCACCAAACGGGGGATAAATGACCATTTGGTGGGGTGTGCCCAACCTGTTTACCATACAACGTATTTCGATAAAAATTACACTAGGCCTGTAGTCTCATTCAACCAGACGCTCGACTGTCTCCGTAAATTCCGACGTCATTTGACGTCACAGTCTAGACTGTGTCTCGTGCGGTTTGGAAGTTTGAAGAGGCGGATCATAGTTTACAAGTGTAAGCTGTGTAAACGTTTTTCTTATGGTGCAACTGCGCTCGCCCCGACGGTCACACCGTAAAACATATTAAAGCAATGCATAAAACAATTGTGCTAAAGGTCCTTCAATAAGAATTGTTCCCATCACTCACAACACATGTCATATACCCCTATCATGCTTACACTGGGACACACCCACCTGTTTCAACCCTGGGAAACCCTGTTATGTGACTGCATATAGCTAGGTATATGCCTTCAGAAAGTTATTACATGGATCCTCTTAAGTTTTGAAAAAAAAAAACATGCCTACCTTCTTTGTCTGAGCAATTATCACGTATTTTCACACTCATTTTTGCTGTCAATGAACAGTTCATTGTTGGATCACGTTTTGTAAAGGATATTATGAAGTACTAAGGAAAAAGCGTACAGAAGATCAATCTTAAAAATTGTATTATGTAGAACCAAACTCAGAACCTGAAAAATTATTTCCGTATTATGCACAAAAAAAGCTTTTCGTTGTTCATCTGAGGTCGATTAAATAAAAAAATCATTAAAAATGACATTTTCTTTCAATTCAATTTTTTTAATTAACAGAATGAATTATATCGGTGATTTTTTTTTTTGCCATTTGTAGCAGCCAATAAAGGAGGAAGAGTTATATTGATGTTGCATACGTTGATCAATGCATGAATTGTTTGGTATAAGTTTCGACTGATACATCTTTTTATGTATCAGTCGAAAACGGTATATTTAAAAACAGCATATAGAGACAAAAGAGTTACATTATTGATAACATATAGTGCATATTAGAATACATAAATAGGAAAAAGGTGACTCGACCCCATATTTAAAAAGAAAAAAAAATGGAAAAGGGGGGGGGGGGGGTCCAGACCCCAAGTGCCTGTGATATCAAATACTCAATGTTCTTAGATTTGTCATAAGATGATATTTATTTTAGATATTGCATTACAATGAATTGTTCAAGACTGTATCCAGCGGGGTCACACGAAACATAACCCCAACCCAATTTTCAGTTATTATTAAAATAAGATCGCTAACTTTGAAAAGTTTTACCCTTTCAAGACCCTATAGAGAAAATGGATATATATATATATATATATATATATATATATATATATAGAGAGAGAGAGAGAGAGAGAGAGAGAGAGAGAGAGAGAGAGAGAGAGAGAGAGAGAGAGAGAGCTTTTCATAGAGATAACTGTAAGCCTCATCTCTAACCCACCTCAAGTCAAAACAACTCCCAACGCAACCCACCTCAAATCCTCCCCAACTCCTAACACAACCCACTTCTAGGCCACCCCACTCCCAATCCAAACCACCTCAAGTTCACCCCACTCCCAGTACAACCCATCTTAAGTCCACACCCACTCCTAACACAACCCACCTCAAGTCCACCCCACTTCCAACACAACCCACCAAAAGTCCACCCCACTCCCAACACAACCCACCTCAAGTCCACCCCCTCTCCCAACACTACCCAACTCAAGTCCACCCCACTCCCAACACAACTCAACCAACCTCAAGTCCACAGCCACTCCCAACCCAACCCACCTCATGTCCACCCCACTCCCAACACAACCCACCTCAAGTCCAACCCCACTCCCAACACAATCCACCTCAAGTCCACCCCACTCCCAACACTACCCACCTCAAGTCCACACCCACTCCCAACACAACCCATCTCAAGTCTACCTCACTCCCAACACAACCCACCTCAAGTCTATCCCCACTCTCAACACAACCAACCGCAAGTCCACCCCACTCCCAACACAACCCATCTCAAGTCCACCCCACTCCCAACCCAACCCATCTCAAGTCCACCCCACTCCCAACACAACCCATCTCAAGTCCACCCTACTCCCAACCCAACCCATCTCAAGTCCACCCCACTCCCAACACAACCCATCTCAAGTCCACCCCCACTCCCAACCCAACTCAACCAACCTCAGGTCCACCCCACTCCCAACACAGCCCATCTCAAGTCCACCCCACTCCCAACCCAACCCACCTCAAGTCCACCCCACTCCCAACACAAGCCACCTCAAGTCCACCCCACTCCCAACAAAACCCACCTCAAGTCCATCCCCACTCCCAACACAACCCAACTCAAGTCCAACCCCACTCCCAACACAACCCACCTCAAGTCCACACCCACTCCCAACACAACCCACCTTAAGTCCACCCCCACTCCAAACACAATCCGCCTCAAGTCCACCCCACTCCCAACACAACCCATCTCAAGTCCACAACACTCCCAACACAACCCACCTCAAGTCCACACCCGTTCCCAACACAACCCACCTCAAGTCCACCCTCACTCCCAATCCAACCAAACTCAAGTCCACCCCACTCCCAAACACAACCCACCTTAAGTCCACCCCCACTCCAAACACAATCCGCCTCAAGTCCACCCCACTCCCAACACAACCCATCTCAAGTCCACAACACTCCCAACACAACCCACCTCAAGTCCACACCCACTCCCAACACAACCCATCTCAAGTCCACTCCCACTCCTAACACAACCTATCTCAAGTCCACCCCACTCCCAACACAACCCATCTCAAGTCCACCCCACTCCCAACACAACCCACCTCAAGTCCAACCCCACTCCCAACACAACCCACCTCAAGTCCACACCCACTCCCAACACAACCCACCTCAAGTCCAACCACACTCCCAACACAACCCATCTCAAGTCCACCCCCACTCCCAACACAACCCACCTCAAGTCCACACCCACTCCCAACACAACCCACCTCAAGTCCAACCACACTCCCAACACAACCCATCTCAAGTCCACCCCCACTCCCAACACAACCCACCTCAAGTCCACACCCACTCCCAACACAACCACCTCAAGTCCACACCCACTCCCAACACAACCCACCTCAAGTCCAACCACACTCCCAACACATATATATGATTCATGATGGTTTTCGTATTTTATTTTCTGCCACAAAGTTTGGTTGCTTGTCTCAATTTTATTTATTTACATGTGTATTTAATCTATTTATTTATTTTATTTTATTTTCATTTGCTCGGAAATTTATTTTAAGTCTGAATTTTACTCTCCCTTCCTCCTCTGTAAGAATCTTCCTGGATTCCTTCATTTGTCAGTACTTAGATTGTACTTGTGTACTGTAACTGTCAACATTTATTGAACTTGTTGATTGCCTCACGTACGGAACTTTGTTGGAAATATCTTGTTTTTTCACACAATTCTGTTGATAAAGCATTGCAGGAAATCGTGATTTATTTTAATGAAAATGACACAGTCTCAAGCAATGTTATATATAGTCAATGACACAAACACTATTTATAGAACCAGAAGTCTCTGGTGATACTGTAGCTCTACTGATATAAACTTATGTAGGTATAGGAGAAAAATTGCACTTGGATTTTTAATTTTTTTTTCATGATTTTGTTGTTGTTGAGTTTTTACATTTCTAATATTGTGTGTCTTAGATATTTAAAATATTTACTAAGTTTTATGAAAATTAAACCAAAATTACAGAAAAGAGGGACATTTTGACAGAATTTTTAACAGACTCCCCTATCCCTAGTTACCCTTTATATAGAGGTAGAAAAAAACTCCATAGAAATATAATTTGATTTTTTTCCCACAGCAAACGTTAAGATTGTAAAGTTAAATTTAAGCTAATCTCTCAATTTTTCAGAGGAATGCTATGTAAGTTCTGAATTATGGAATTCTACAGACAACATAATATATATTTTTTTAAATATACATTAGCTCTTTCGAGAAAATGTGGTAAAGCAGTTATTAACAGCAGAGCTCTTTGGAAAACTAAAGTTCTTTAACACTTTCGGTTAATTTGCAGTGACCCGACAACCGTGGAGAGAGAAGATGAAACAAATTACTCGGCAGATTAGCGACCTGACAGAGCGCGGGGCTTGTCACGAGACTTGAGTGACACCTGGCGAGTGATGCGGACAATGGAACCTGTAGAAGCAATCCAATTCACCAGCAGCTACAAGTTCTAACAGCTTTAACGCTATGTATGACATCGCCTCCATCACTTACAGGGATTTCTGCAGAAGGAATTATCTTTTTTTGAAAACAAACTAAGGGATATATGACTAAGGACGGACCAAGCGAAGCGGCACATTAGAGATTTAGATTTCATTTTTGGTTGATTTGCACCTGGTTTTGCTGATTAAGAGAGATGAACTTTTCCGTGTGTGTACTTTCTCACACTAGTTTCTTTGTACAGACCGAGGAGAAAAAAAGAAATATCTGTCAATTTTGTTTTTGAAGTCATAGACCTTTCACAATGAAAATGTTTTTTAACGTTTTAATTACACAGATAATGACTGTTTTAGGTTAGTTACCCCAGCAAAAAAGCCAGATTACATCTTATCCAACCGGACAACGTTTTCCCAAATAGTTTCTTGCCAATAATGTTTCACTTCCATCACTTTCTTTTCAGTTCAACATTGTGGCATTCAAAGACAGACTAGCATTTTCTTGGAAACTCGGGGATGCCGAGACTCTGGTAAAGAGCCGCGTCTTTAGGCGCCTTTCACGTGTGGTTATGTTCACTGTACGATAAGAAACGTCATTCATTTTCTTCAGAATACAGAAAATAAGGATTTAATATCTGTAATCAGGGAAATTGATATGATATTCATCACCAGTCATAGCGTTCATCTCCTGTAGCAAAATCGTTCCGTCAGTCAACGCTTGTTCAGAAAAGGCTGGATCAAGGGTCATTGCAGAAAATACTTGTTCAAAGTCATCTGTGGGATAATTCTTTCAATATTAATTTTGTCGGCCATTTATTGGATTCTCTCTCTCTCTCTCTCGTATGAATAACCAAAATTACTCATTCCTTTTTTCCTTTCATTGATCATAATCTGACCATGTACACAAGGGAAAATCCCGTCTTATCGACAATAGAAAAGATACAATGCCTCCCAATTATAATGCACGTGTGCCGTACTGTGTGTGGGGTAGTGGCGTCGTCCGTGCAGAAACGCAATCGTAAAAACGTCATGCAAATTGCGATACGGACTTTATGAGCAACATGAATTCTATTATCAAAAGGCTCCTGGGAGAAATTAGAAATATAAATTATGAAATGATTAAAAACATCTTGGATCAGTACGTTTTAACGACACCACTCGACGCGAGAAAATGGTTAGATAGACACATAATTAACCCTATCTCTACAGTATAGGGTATCTATCGCAGTAAAATTCGAGATATTTGATATATAATTTTTTCATCTAACTTATTTGCGTGCGATATATTTCAGCAATATCGGGTTGATAGTGGTTTCTAACGTTTCAGATGCAATGTTCATATCTGGATTACTATCGAAAAACCTAAACTTTGATTTAAAAATAAACTGTAAGGGATATTACCATTTTCCCTTATCATTTACCATATACACTTAGAATGAAAATAACAGGATACAAAAATAATATTGAATGTGAAACAAGCATCAACAAAGAAGAACGAGATAGAATTCTAATGCAGAACTTTTACATAACGGTCAATGGGTTAAAAAACAAAACCAGCTTATTTTGTTTATTTTTTTTCTTTAATGAAAAGCCCCATTCATTGAATTGAGAGAAAAAAATGTATTTTCTACAACGATTGTTTGATTATTGGATCCCAACCCATGACAAAACAACGGGAAACTAATAGAAAAAACACAACGTAGAAGTTAAAACTGCATGATAAATTAAAAAACTGAAATGTTTGTCCTCATTTTCTATTTTATTGTGAAATTGAAAAACGTGTAAATTTTCAGGCCCTGCTTGTATATTCTCTGTTAGAAGTTCTAATATAATAAATATATTAATTTCCAGTGTGAGGAAAATTTGGAAAATAATATCTTTGATCCGCTCCCACTCGCTAGTCAAAGGTTGAGAGTATGTGTGCTGAATTATACTAGTAATTTGGCACACTACTGTGAAAAGCAGTTTGAAGTTTGAGCCCAGGAATTTACATCTTTTGGGGAGAATAATGGACTCTTTAAAAGAGTGTTTAAATCTGAAAGTTTTAGATTTAACTTTCAATTCAATTCAATTCTTTATTCACTCAAAACCAGATTACTGGTACAAGAGGTACATATACACATATATACAAACAAAAATTATAGTCAAGGGTCAAAAAATAGACAAGTATATAATGAAAAAGGAAAGGAAAGTAAACTTATAATCAGATATATATATGGAGGATTCAAGAAGGACAGACAGTTTTGAAGATTTTCTTAATAAATTTTGACAATGATTTCTGTATTTCTACATTATTTGTGTTCATTAGTTCATTAAATTTGAAAGTGTTAGGATTTTTACAATATCTATTTTGGAGAAATATTTTTCTGTCATTCGAAAAGAACTTGCATTCCATAACATAATGAAATTCATCACCAATAGTTTTACAGTCACAAATGGTACATATTCTTAAATTTCTATCAATATTATTCCATCTACCTGTTTCAATTGGCAAATGATGATTACACGTTCGTAGTTTTGTAAGTGTAACTTTTAAATCTTTTGGTAAATCAGCAAATAATTTTCGAAACCAAAGTTTGTTTTAAAAATTCTATAATTAATACACTTATGTGAACTATCAACAGTGCTTCTCCATTCTTGTTCAAATTGATTTTTTAGGGTATCTTTAATAATTGACTTAAGCCAGTTAAAACTATGAAATGTTTGACTTGTCCATATATAAGACAATCCACAAGAATTAAGCACATTCTGTACACATTTTATCCATGGATGTACAAACGACCCATCGATATAACACCTATAAAATATGAATAAATAAATTTTCAGGCCCTGCTTGTATATTCTCTGTTAGAAGTTCTAATATATTAATTTCCAATGTGAGGAAAATTTGGAAAATAATATATCTTTGATCCGCTCCCACTCGCTAGTCAAAGGTTGAGAGTATGTGTGCTGAATTATAATTTGGCACACTTCTGTGAGAAGCAGTTTGAAGTTTGAGCCCAGGAATTTTGGGGTAGAATAATGGACTCTTTAAAAGAGTGTTTAAATCTTAAAGTTTTAGATTTAACTTTCAGATGCATGTATTTCATTTTCATGGACTTGGGCGTTTCGGGGGAAAATGAGAGGGGGGATCCTAAAACTCGTGTTAAGAGTGATTTATGTTGATAATGACAGCACATTGTATACTAGTATTAATAGAATTCTATCAAGAATAAACCTCAGTATGCATTGTCAAGATTTGTTGGTTCCGGAGGGGACATGAAATGCTTTAAGAAAGCTTTCAAAATACTTGTTTTGTTTTACATTAGAGAAGAGTTACTATAAAAATTTGAGTTTTAATGCATTGGGTGTCCGATTTTCGAGTCGTTGTAAAACAATTCTCCATGCGAGGTTTGCGGTTTGCACCACGTGAACAAATTACTCGGTTCAATGGAAATATAATCCAGTTATCAAAATGAAAAGAAAACATAAATCAAAAGTTACGAAATTCACTACCCCTTAGATTCAAGTTAAAAATCTACAGACATGCGAGGAAGGTGAAAAATAAACATCATCTCATTTCCTGAATTTGAATAAAAAACCAAAGGCGTGCGTGCAGCATAACATGTTGAAACTTCCCAATATTCATTACAATATATAGTTTGACAAAGAAATTTCTCGGTAATCTTCATCTTAAATATATTGGTTATAAACATTTTGTCAGTGTGAAATTGAGAGTTAATTTGTTTTGATATTGCTTAGTGTTATTTAATTCCATTCATTTAATTTATTGACATTGCAATATTTGTAATTAGCCAAGAAACAATCATACTATTAACACAAAAGTGAATGAAAGCAGCAATTAGCATGCGGAATTTAATTTCTTTAAAAGCACATGGATATTCCTCCTATGCATAAGGCGCTCAAACTCATTTTACATGCAGATTGCAGAGTCTGTTAATATATA